TCAAAAGTTATGGCCTTCAGAAGTTTTATGATTAAATTATTATTTTTGTTGAAAAAATATATGACACGTGTCAACACCTCGTGAGAGACGTGGGGCGTCTCCCCTTAGGGTGAGACGCCTCAATGGGGCGTCACATTATGAAATAGATCCGTAATTATTTTTAAAATTGTAATAAATGCATAATTATTTTATTAAAAAGCATTAAATTAATTTTTTTTGCCGGATCCACTTACCTATTTTAGGGAAATTTATTTATGCTTCCCCTTTCTTTTTCTTTTTCTTTTTTATTATTTCTCTCTCCTCTCTCCACCCTATTTTATCTCGAGAGACCATGAGGGCCGGGACCTCTAAATATTATCTCCTATTTTAGAATAACTGAACTTCAATACATCGTTCCTTCAAAATATAGACGCTGCTTGCCGAGTAAGAGTATTAATGAAATGAGCCGAACTGGACTTAGTCTTAAAAGACTAAGTCTGTATTTTAATGTATCAGTCTGGCCTAATATGTTATTTGCTATGAATATAATTATCATCTGTGACCTGTCTTATTTACAAAAAAAAAAAACCGGATTTAATTAGCCCGTTTTAAAAAAAATAAGATAACAAAAATTTATCCAAATAAAATATACGGTCCAAAACACTAATAATTTCTCAAAGATGCATAAATTCGATGTATATCCAAACAACATAATATAGAACAAAATCATTCAAAAAAAGTGTTTAACCAATAATAATGGGTGAAATGGATTGAGGACACAGGAAAAACTATTATGAATAGTATAAAAAATATAAAATAAAAATAAGAATTAGTATATTAGGCCAGCCTAAGAGACTTTAAGGTCGAACTTTTGAATTAGAGCCTGAGATATTTTTATTAAACGAGTTTTTATATAAATTCAAGTCTGATTCCAACAACCAATTTTATACATGTAAGCTCAGATCTTAACTAGGTCGTCGAAAGATTTTTGTGGTACTATGGATGTACATATATACACCAGTTCCCAAATTAAAAACTTTCGCAACTTAAAAGGTAAATATGGATTGAAAAGATACAAGATTTTTCCAATTAAGAAAAATGAAAGTATTAAATTAAGTACTCCTTCGGTATTAAAAAAAAAATTCCTGCTTGCCTTCCAAACTTTTACGATTTTATTGCTGAATGGTAAAATTTTTGGTAGGGGAGAAAAAGTTGATTGTGATATTTATGCATATTAATAGTGAAAAATATTTTTCCTATAATAGGAGTTAAAATTATATCCTGTAATCCCAAAATTATGTCATTTTAAAGATTAGAGAAATTAATAAATAATGTTTTAGAAATTTCTCTTTTTATTTTATTTTATGAATTTTATTAAAGGGAAATTATACTCTTATGTCACATGAGATTCATTTCTCATGTTACACTTACATAAAAAGACGTGCCTTTCTTTTGCTTCTTCTTTTTTTTAAAAAAAATTGATGGATCCCACTTCATTATCTCACAACATAAGATAACTTCTCTCATATATTACATGAGAGAAGTAAAGCCCTTTATTCAAACATACTTCATTACTTTTCCAACCCTCAAAATGACATAATTTGCGGATTTCTAGAAATAACTTTATTTCCTGCAAATGATAAATTCATATTAATAATTTATATTTCATATTTTTTTTATTATATCAGTTTATGTTCGTGATCACTTTATTATATTTTTTATTTTAATTCTTAAACTAATGTCTTGGTCGTTACAAATTTTAGAAGAATTACCAAAAATAAAAGATAAGAAAGTTAATATTTTTGGTTAAAAATTACATGTCAGTGCATGTTCTGTCTTCATCTAGGGGGCAGGCATGTTTGATTGTACGACAACATCATGTTGTCAATTCTTAACATGTCACGAGGGATTGATACGATATATATATGGGTTTATCATCTATCATTTAACATGACCACAAAAATTTTTCTACACACAACATTTTGTGGAGCCCGCAGCAAAAAAAAAAAAAACTTCGGCACGCAAAACGAATCTCTATAACATAACACAATCACTTTTCCTACAACATAACTCTTATAAAACCCTATATATATATATATATATATATATATATATATATATATATATATATATATATATATATATATCGTTTAGCAGAAAATTTATTTTAAATTTAAGCAAGTAATGATTATGAATGCAGTCTAATTATAAATATATTATTTAAAAATAATATCAATTTATACTAGCTAGTATAATTTTAAGAAAATTTATATTTCTTATTATTAACTATTGATCTAATTAAATATAGTAAAACCGTAAGATAAAATAAAATCAACAATTAATAATAAATATAAAATTTATATAAGTATAATTTGATCCTATTTCATTTAAATAAAATATATGATTAGGAATGAGAATGAGTACTATTGCTCATTAGCAACTCATGATTTAAATTTAAATCTTGATTCAGTAAATTTAAGTTCGAGAGCAAATGAGTTTAGAATGACTGTAAGTCTTGATGATTTTGTTATAAAGAATGAGCTGAGGTAGAGCATATAAAAAAGTATACACTAGTATGCGATTTTTCCAGTATAATTAGTGATTTTTATTTAAGTAGTAAAAAGAATTTTGTTGTTCTTATGATCCCAACCGATTAGTCACTTAATCAGTGAAGCGGTGAAGAAATTAAAAATATATATAACATATTAATTGAAGAGTATTTAGCTCAAGAAAACGAGAATACAAAAAGAACTATGAAAAAGAAAGCTTATTGTAAAAAGAATATTATGTGCAACAAAGACTAGAGTGGCCATATTGTCCCAACTAATGAAAATAAAAGGGTGAGCGTGTTTGGATAGCAACGAGTAGCTAGAACTCCCATCCCATGCAACCAATGTCCAGTTGCGCTTTCATTAGTGATATTCAGTCGAAGAAACGACAAACGTAGACAGTTACTTTACAGGTAAGACTGTAAATAGATTAAATTGAGCTGTATTTTGTTTTAAATATTTCACACTTATATAAAATGCCTCGGGTCTGGTTTATTAATTTTATGTATATTTAAATTATAAATCTGATCTGACTTATATTTAAAAAGTAAAAATTTGGTCTAAATTTATTAGCATATTTAAATTTATTAAATATTCAATAATTAAAATAACATTTATTTTATTATTTAAAATTATTAAAATAATAATTTTATTTAAGATTTATAGATTCAACGTGTAAAAGAAAATTTTCAACCTATTTTTTAAATAAGTTTTTTTAAAATGTTAAAACCATTTTATTTGATTATATAAAATTGACTGAAGCTTACTTGATATAGGATCACCATAAACCCCGGGCCTGACCTATTGTTACTTTCTCATTTATTTTGGTTGGAATAAATTGTCCGATCAATGGCTTGGTGTGACAGGAGGAAATTTATGAGAAACTGACACCTCCATTGTGAGAAACATGGTAAAGATAAGAATGAAAACAGGATCCAAGAGAGAAATGGACATGATTCAAGACAGAGATGTAACATTTTGACACAATATTTATTTTAGTACTAACGGAAGATGGGGGAAAAAAAACTCGGCAAAAGATTTGAATTCTGTTACTTTAGAAAGTTATTAGAAACGTCTATTACCTATGAATTTGTCAAGACTTTTTTTAATTTTTTTAATGTTTATTTTACTTTACAAAACAAGTTAATTTTATTATTCATTTGAAAATATGTTAAAGCATTTTTTTTATACATAAAGCATATTAATTTAATAACTCATCTGTAATGTACTTCATTTGATTAATAATTGATCAATTATGTGATAACACCTGAAGCATGGTAAAGATAAGAATGTAAACAATTAATTATACGAGGTTTATACAACAGATTTTTTTGTCTTCCACAAACAAATTTATTTAGTATTGTAAATATCATAAAATTGATTGATTGATTTATTATTAGACTTGACATTACATCTTATAGTTTAGTGTCTCTTTGGATTCTTTTATTTTTAAGTTAGAAATTAGTTTTAAGTAAAAATTAGGCTAAGCAAGTTTTGAAAAAAATACTAAAAGCTTTTTTTATAATAAAAAAGGAAAAAAAATATATCTAATGTTACTTTAGACAATTTGTCTAATGTTCACCAAAACGACGTCGTTTTGACGTTGAAAAATTAAAAAATTAGAATGATAAATAATCCTGAAATAAATTAAAATTACAAATACATCATGATTTCTACTCCAAAACGATGTTGTTTAGGCGAACATCAGATAAAGTTGTCTAAAGTAACTTTAGAAAAAATGAACCCATAAAAAAAAACCAAAAACTAAAAGCTCGAGTTTTTTTTAAGCTCTTATCAACTTTTTTTAAATTGTGTGTTTTTTTAAATGAAAAGTTATAGAGATAGAGAGGAAGAGACTCTTCTTGAAATGCATGCTTTTAAGTAATTTTTTAGCTAATTTTTTTTTATAATAACCAAATAGTTTTTAGCTTTCTTTTTTATGCTTTAGCTTAAAAAAAAAAAAGAATCCAAAATCTTTTGAAAAAAATACATCAATTGATAAGCCAAATGACAAATTACAATAAATAGGCTGATGTCACATTTTAAATCAAAACCTTAAAGGCTCAAATTATATGGGTTTTTTTTTTAATTATATGATACTAGTTTAAAACATTTCTAATCAATGTAAAACTTCATTACTAGTATTTACCAAAAAAAAAAAAACTTCATTACTAGTGACTTGATTATCTCTAACAATTACCTCAAGCAGACAACAAACAAAATTTGAGTGAAGGCCAGCCAAACCTATTTTCTCTTAACTTTGTTTTTTTGTCACAATCCATTCCCCACTATTATCACCTAATTCCCTTTTTCTATTTCTCTTCATCCCTTTTACTCTCTCTCTTTCTCTTCCCCACTGCCACACATAAGTTTTGCTTATAAATACCCAGGAAAGAGATGGGTTGATTTGAGCAGCACTAAAGTCTGGTGCTTATGTCACTGTAGTGTGGTTAGCTTCAAGTTCAAATTTTGATGGTGGAGATGGGTTGTATAGGGGTTATCCTTGTGGCCATTTGTAGTGCTTTTATGTTAATTAGATCCCTCCTCAAGAATGTAAATTGGTGGCTCTATGAATCCCACTTGGGAATGAAGCAGTACTCTCTTCCACCTGGTGACATGGGCTGGCCCATCATTGGCAACATGTGGTCTTTCCTCAGAGCTTTCAAGTCTAGTGATCCTGATTCCTTCATCTCCTCCTTTGTGTCCAGGTAAATTAATCACCACCCTCTCCTTTTAGCTTTTGAGCACTCAACAAGCTACTTTGCTAGCTAGCAACTTGTTCTACATTTTGGGCTGCAAGCACAACTAGAAACGCAAATGCGAAGAGTGGTAAAAAATCTGGCATTGGGAAAGAATGAGTTTAGCAAGATACATATAAATGGTTTATTATTTGTATGTAACATAATATAGTTATAGGGATTGATTATTTTATCTACCGTTTTTTCTGCCTATCTTTGTTCATCACTCTAAATACTCTTAAATCAGAATCTCAAGACAAAAGAGAAAGATAAAGATTAGTTAAGATGCTCATCTAACGGTATTTTAGAGTCGTAAAGAAAGGTAGACAGAAAAAATGATAAGTAGAATAATATATCCCGTATAATACTATCCCATAGTTATAATATTATTTTGTCTTTATAATTATATAATTCTGAAATATATAATTATATTATTTAATTTTTTTTCTCCTTGTTGGCCGACGTAAAAAAATAAATAAAAATTTAATATTATAATTATGTATTTTTTAGAATATATAATATAAGGAATGACAAGATAAAATATTATATCTTGTTATTAGACGACCGATGAACTCATATATAAATGAAAGGATTTAGAGTTAAATTTTTTTTTTTTTGCTGCAAAAATTATTAAAACAAATTATTTTTTGCTATACTCATATAAAAGTGAGTGAATCTCACTAAATTCTTCTGTCTCTTTTTTTCAACAAGAGCAGAAATTTTTTTCCCACAAATTTAATATCTTAAAATTTTGGATTGATCAGATAGAGTATTCTATCCACTTAATGTGATTAGTCTAGCTTAGTGTATTGGACAACTATAAAAAATTCCTGCATCCTTATCTAAAATACAGTTTATAAACGTTTTTAAAAAATAAAACCAATCTGTAGATCATTATAAATTTCTATCCCAGTAATCTTCTTAAATATCATTATATTCAACCATAGATATACATTTTACTTTAAAGTTAATTCAATAGTTGAAAAATATATATAAAAAATTTTCATTAACAAAGTTGCATGTGAATGTCCGTGAGCATGTTTAGTCCATGTCATTATGGGCATCGCGTGATTAGGATGGTCTAGAGTCTTTAACATAATTGTAACTCTAAATATCTTCAACTCCAGAGTAGTATGAAATAAAGTGCACCAGGTGTAAAGTTTGAATCCTAATGCAGATTTGGAAGGACCGGAATATATAAGGCCTTGATGTTTGGAAGCCCAAGTGTAATTGTGATAACACCTGAAGCATGCAGAAGAGTTTTGACAGATGATGATAACTTTATTCTTGGTTGGCCTCGTTCTACGGTTGAGCTTATTGGAAAGAAATCATTCATTGCAATGTCTTATGAAGAACATAAACGTCTTAGGCGTTTGACATCTTCTTCAATCAATGGCTTTGAAGCACTGTCCTTGTACTTGGTATATATTGAAGAAATTGTGAAAAGTTCATTGGAGAAATGGGCCAACATGGGACAAATAGAGTTTTTAACTGAGCTCAGGAAGCTTACTTTTAAAATCATTGTGCATATTTTCCTTGGCTCTGAGGGTAACGCTTTTATGGAATCTTTGGAAAGGGAATACACGGCACTTAATTTTGGAGTTAGAGCCATGCGAATTAATATTCCTGGATTTGCATTTCATAAAGCCTTCAAGGTAAGCTTTCAGCACAAAATATTTGAATAACTAAAGTTACTTGACTTATCAGAAAACAAATATAAACCGTTAAAAAGACCTTCATCGGGGTTGAATTGGTTCTTTACATGGTATCAGAGCCTTGGTGTACCGGGTTCGATCCTCATTCGATCCTCACCGCCCCTCACTTTTTTTCTAGTGTAATTTCTTTCTTTGTACAAATGGATGGGCCTGTGCATTGTCCACCCTTTAAGCCTAGTGAGCTCTCATATGGGGGGTGTGTTTAGATATATAAAATCATTAATGTACCATCAATCAATGAGAAAAAATGGAATGGGGTCCATCATGTTTATGGTTTCTCTCTCACCTTTGAGGCAGAAATGGTTTCCCCTTTATTTATTAGTATTTCACTCACTTCATTTTTTGTCTTTATTCAAATATACTTGAGGGAGGTTATAGTGTTAATCACATTCACATATTCTCAGTGATTAGAAGAAAAAGAATACTACCTTTGATAATCTTGTATTTAACTACAATTTAAATTTTAACTTCTCATTTCAGGCTAGGAAAACTCTGGTGGCAATATTTCAATCTATCGTGAATGAGCGAAGGAAACAAAGGAAGGAAAATTTGTCCAGACAAAACAAAGACATGTTGGATGCTCTGATTGATGTTGAAGATGAAAATGGAAGAAAATTGAGCGATGAAGAAATCATTGATGTTATGATAATGTACTTGAATGCAGGCCATGAGTCTTCAGGACATATTACCATGTGGACCACCTTGCTCCTGCAAAAGCACCCAAAATATTTCCAAAAGGCTAAGGTATCCTCATGTTACCTATAGTACATTTAAATTTAAATCTACACATTGTCTTGAATGGTATCCTCATGTTACCTCAACCCGAAAACTCTAACTTCTACTTCCAAATATTTAATCAATGAATAGGCTGAACAGGAAGAAATAATAAAGAAAAGGCCACCTACACAGAAGGGGTTGACACTTCAGGAAATTCGGCAGATGGAGTTTCTTTCTAAGGTAAATATCTTATCGGACAAGTATAAAACTATTAACGTGGTCTTCACTTAACAATTTAACCTTTTGGGTTAATTTTATTCTTATTTGACAAAGTGGTCACGAGTTTAATTCATTCTTCACCTAACTGCTTAAATTTTTGGGTTGAGTTAGTTCTTTACATATCTGTTGATTTTAGGTTAATATCAACTAATACTAGATCAATTTTGTAATTATCTATTTTCATATTCCTACATTGCATAGGTGATTGATGAAACAATGCGTGTGATTACATTCTCATTGATGACCTTTCGCGAGGCAAAATCTGATGTCAGGATCAATGGTTAGTCCATGTTCTGCTAATTTCTTTTGTCAATATTATAAAAATCAACTTACATTATCTGTGAAGAGTGAATACTTTAATGCATCTATCTTCTCACTTTTTAGTTTATATGAAAGCAGAAGTGATGAATAGAGCGGTTTTGGCCCCTTATCCTTTCCTTACTTGAAGTGTCTAAATTAGTAAAGGAAACGCATGTGTTCAATTATATAAGTTTTGGCAGCAACTTTATTTTTCTGATGTAACGTGTGTAGGTAAAATGATGAGTGGAAATGGAATGGTTATTCTTTCGTCTCATAAATCTGTTGAAATCGCTTCAAGAATCAGATGTAGTGGAAATATGCAGCATGAACTTTATTCATATTACAAAGAACTAACTGCATTGATTGTATAGGCTACACCATTCCAAAAGGTTGGAAAGTACTGGTTTGGTACAGGTCCGTTCACCTTGATCCTGAAATATATCCTAATCCAAAGCAATTTGAGCCTTCAAGATGGAATGTAAGTTACAAATATCTTTGTTTTTTCCATTTGAATTGAACAAATAGGATACTCCAAGCATTCTTAACTTATGTATGTGTTTTAGATTTAATTTATCAAATTGGTTGATGATTATCCATAGACCGTACACAAGGCTGGAGAATTCCTTCCCTTTGGAGCAGGAACCAGATTGTGTCCAGGGAATGATCTCGCTAAGCTAGAAATCACAGTTTTTCTTCATCATTTTCTTCTGAATTATCAGTGAGTAAACATAAACCTTATATTATCCTTATTTTGTGAGTTGTAGGATTGAACCAAAGTCTACATCTAGGAGAAAGAGACTAATTTTTTTTTTTTTTGTAATAAGAAAGAGACTAATTTTGCTTTGCTCTAGGATTGAACCAAATGTTTGTGTTATTTGTTTCTACCACAGGCTTGAACAACTTAATCCTACATGTCCTGTGATGTACTTACCGCATACAAGGCCCAAGGACAATTGCTTGGCAAGAGTCCAGAAATGTTCATCTGCATCAACCTAAGATGGATAAACAGAGTACGAGACTATGGGATATGATAGGCATGACTATGATATGAAGTCCACATGGCCATAATATGTTAAGAGCGACTTTTAATGTATAATAATATTATGCGAGTAACGTTCAAAATAATAACCTGCAACTATATGGTTTAGCCGAAGAATTCTTCTTATGTGTGATAATAATTTAATGGGCTATGTATATATATAAAAAAAACACTTGTTCGGGAGTGAACATCAATATCTAATGGAAGAGCCAATAATTATGAATAATGGGTATGAAGGGTGGCCAGTCTTCTGAATGCTGAAGAACCTCCTTCGTCCCTTGCTATATGTAGCCATATATAGATGAAGTACACTAATAGTTGGAGAAGTTGTGCACATAGAAGTGGTTTTTTCCAATGATTTAATGGTGTCACCCAATGCAAATGGGTGGTCATATGTAGTTGAGGGAAGTTGAAAGATACTGGGAGATTGAGGTGTTTTACTTTTATGTAATAGGGATAGAAGTAAAGACTTTGATTGATCCATAACAAAACTTAACGAACTTCTCATGTTGTTGGAGAAGAGCAAAGTTTTCAGCATACACAAGTTTTGTAGGGGCCGTACTTGTATGAAGTGTTTTTCCCTAACTTAATATGGTAAAATTATGGGAAAAATATTTTTTCATTTACTGGAGATAATTTTATCTCCATTGAACTCAAAACGATGTCGTTTTGAAATTATAAAATTAAAAAATTATAATAATAAAGACTAATATAATCCTGCAATATATTAGAAATACAAAAATACCTTTATTTTGCCTCAAAACGACATCATTTGGAGATAATCGAAGATAACTTATCTTTATTGACTGGAGAAATTTTTTACCCTAAAATTATAAAAGAGAGTTGTCTAATTTAAATTGTAATAATCAAATAATTAATGAATTGATGGAGAGACAGATAATCGGTGAAATTGATGGAGAAATAAAAATAAAAATATAAAAGAAACGTCGATTTTTTTGAGTTTTAGAAGGGTCAAGACTCAAGCGTGTTGTTGGATTGGGGCATGACCAGTGACCACAATCAACCCTAATTTTTAAATTAAAACGATTTCTACAAATTGTTGTTATTAATTTTTGAAATAAGAACCAGTAAATTTATTAAAGAATATAGTTCAAATACCCAACTCTACTTTAAAATAATTTATTCTTAATTTTTTTAATTTTTTTAATTTTTTTAATGATTTTTTTCTTTCTAAATTTATATAAATTTTAACTTATAAATCGGAATATGCTACAATACTATGTAACCTAATTTTTTTTCTTCATTTCATTTACTTTAAACTGCTTGATGTGATGTATAATGTTTCATAGTATAAACTTATATTATATGTTCTTACGTTTTTAGTTATTTGGTGTGACCATCACATAATATAAACTTATACAACAGAGTCTCATAATACATCAAAATGATGTATAACTTAATCAGGCCTAACAGGATGAGATTAGGCCTGATAAGGGATTAATGTATTAACTAAAACAATTATCAAGAATTAATATATTATTTTAATATTAATATATTAAAATAAAAAATAATTTATCAACATATTAATTTTTAAAATATTGGATATTTTTAATTTTATAAAAATTAATATATTTTTTGGACACGTAGATCAATAGATTTTTAAAAAATTTATATCATATGACATATTTGGAAAAATAATATAAATTCTTTATCGAAGGATATTTTTATCAAAAATATTTATTATCCTATCTTGTATTAAACAGTGCATTACCAAACATTGAATAATATTATCTTATACAATACCATGTCAAACACTAGATAATATTAAATTTAATCAGACCTTATACTATCAGGTCTTATACTGTCAGACCTTATCCTATTCAGTACACCATACATGCCCTCAGTTTCAATCTCACACAAATAGATAGTTTAGGGTTTGAAAATGAGATATAGTCGAGGAGAATTTGATCCTTAAAGGCATATTTGGTAGGAGTGATTTTTGTAGAATCCTGGAAAAGCTTGGTTGGGATTGTAATATATCTATATTTGGCAGAGGAAATCCAAAAATTTATCCTTGATTCCAATTTCTCCATCATTTTGAGTGTAGTACAAATAATGGATCCGAATACCATCAATAAATACCACAAATTATGTGGTATTTCCATAATCCGGTTTCTTAAAGAAATTTGACATATTTTTTGGGTCTTTTTTACCCTTGCTTGAAATTTTTCGTCGTCTCTACTCACTTTATCTCTTACCTCTTTGTCCTTGTCTTCGTCTTCTTCCAGGGAAAAAGAATTTCAATAACACAAATTGATGAATGAATGTTCCATTTCATGTATTGTTCTAAATCTAATTGTGCTTATGTTTTGTCTTTCTCTCTACCGCAACATGATTTCGGCTTTGGAATTCTTCTTTTCGTTTTTATTTTGTGCAGTTTTTGGATTTCAGCTACCAGATCTACTTTTTATTTTGGGGGGTTTGTTAAATAAATCAGCTTTTGGATCTTAGTTAAAAAAAGGTTCTCATCCAGTGCTGCATATGAAACGAGTTTGGTGGGGGTGAGATGCTGAAACAGGAAGGAGTGATTGGAGGCCATGAGGGTGTCTTTTCTGAATACACACAAGAATGATTCTTGAGAGAAATTAAGAAATACAAAAGTTTAGATGAGTTACAGGGAGCAAGAAATGCAAATGGCAGGTTTTTGGGTTTTGATGGATAAGGTTATTATTGTAAAATTATCATATATTCCTATCAATATTTTACAATCAACCAAACATAGTCTAGGAAAATTGGTCTAACATTTCCGGAAATATTTTGACCTACCAAATAGCTTTTTAGTAACATTCCCATCAAATTTATTTTCCCAGCATATTCCTGAGAGTCGTGATTCTCGGATACAAAAAATTTCTCCTCTACCAAACACCCCCTGGTATTTGGTATAAAGATTTTGTTTTTAGATTACTCGGAAAATGATCTTGGAAATCCTATTTATCCATGTTTGGTATAAGGATTGTGATTTTTTTGGGAATATGATTTTCCTAGAATTCTGATTTGTGAATATTTTTTAAAGCAAAATGTCATCCAAGAGGTGGGAAAAGATTTTGCCGTCCACGCCCTAGTGCCAAGCAAATTTTTCTTCGTGCGCCATAGGACCAAATGTTCAAGGAATATTCTCTTCCTGTGTCAATAGTGCGGGGATGGTGCCACCAACGTTAGCAGTGCAGTTTTTAAAACCACCCTACATTTCTAGTATTATTTGACAATCAATCAAACATAGAATGATAAACTTGAGCAACATTTATTAGGGCGTTTGGTTCAGGAGAATTTTTTTTTTTACTCGGGAAATAGAATTACTAGGAATATGGTGGGAAAGTTAAAAAAAGTTGTTTGGTTGGGCGAAATTTTACCGGGAAAATTGAGTTAAATATATTGAGTCTATGTTTGGTTGAAGATAAACTTTTGATGGAAAAATAGGATGACATTACAAAATAACCCTTATTATATTTGAATGAGAACAACTGTTGCTTAAATAGAATAATGGTTAGGGTGTCGTTCGATATCAGTTGTGCCAACGTCAATATTCCTCTTACCTTCCATATCTCTGTATTTGTCAGTAGTGTTTCCATCGTTAGACATTATCAAGGTTCATGATTCAGATTGTAGCCACATTTTGTGAGGATGTTTTGAATATATGCAGGTTTATTTCAACTTTTTTTTTTTTTCTGAAAAGTAATAATTTCTTTTTTAAAAGCCCTTTTAAGAAGTTGTAAAAATAAACTAATCCAAATCATCCAGTTAGGCTCAAATGTACCCACCACCCAGCTAGGCTCGAATAGTTAATTTGATTTTTGATTCTTTTTACTTTGTTTCCTATTACCAATGGACATTCCAAACACAGTGAACAACCCCTGTTTTAGACTTGCTGAAAATAACGCATCCACTGTACCCAAACATAATTTTTTTCTTTTGTTAAACCATTCTAATATTTCTCTATCCAGGATAACAGTAGAATATACTGCAGCTGTGGCTCCAACTCTTCCACTAGCGGTCCCCCTTGACTTCAGAAGACGGTGAAAACGTCCAACAGGGAACTATATCAAAACATGTACAAGTTGAAACACCAGAGGAAATGAAACGTATTACAATTACTATACTAACAAACAAAAGATTTTAAACACAAGCTGCAGTTCATCATGATCTGAACCAATACACCATAAATTTCTCCATGCGTAAAAATGGAAGATGAGCGTTTGCATATATGTACTCAGGGGTCCACTAAGCAACTTTATCTTTCTTCGTGCTATTTAGGTTAGACGAGGGTATTTTGGTCTACATTTGCTTGCCCTTCTTGCCATTTAGCTGGTTAACTACAAATACCACCTCCAGGTCGTCTTTTCAAATAGTGACTTCTACTTCAGTTTCACAACCATTTCTCAAACGCTATGCAATATGGTAGCTGGAAAAATATTTCAAATCTCTCTACCAAACATGGACTACACACTTTGCCAAAGTCATATGCATGGTAAAATATTTGAATAACCTGAACCAAACGCTCCCTTATGGTAATATTTTGGCCTTTAAAATAGCATTTTGGCCCCATTCCCCAAAAATTTATTTCCCCAACATATTCATAGTAATCGTAATTTCTAGGCATAATAAAATTTCTCCTCTACTAAACTCCTTAATATTTTGTTTAAAGGGGTTGAATGACAGATTATGCAATTTTCAACTGCATAAGGAAAAAAAACATATGAAATAATGATAAAATTGTAATAAAAAAATTTGTAGGAAATGATTTTAGAATAATTCACGAATATCGAAACTTTACTCTTTATTAAATCATGATTTATGAACTAGTTTTGTTTAATAAAGATAACAATAAAAAAAAATTTAGGACTAAGTGGGGTGCCTTTATAAAGACAGGAGTTGAAATATCCCATTGTGACAATTCAGACACAGTTTCGAAATTCAAAATTTGAAATTTGAAAAGAGAGAATGTCGTCAGTGTCAGGTAACATGAAGGGTTTCTACAGGCAAAAAAAAAATCCCAACAAATCTTCAAAGAAACCTCCGATTCACGCCGCCGCCACTTTCGGTTCCGATTCGGCCCAACCACCGGCCCTCATCTCCCCCGGTGGAAACCCTGACCTCGAAGGTTCTCCTCCCCTTCCTTTAAATCTAGGGTTTTCTCAATCTAATCACATTCTTCTTCTTCTTCTTCTTTTTTTGTTTTCTAATCGAATTTGGGTTTATGCGCGCACAGATGAATACGATGAAAGCGAGACGATGTTGCGGGAATTCGACATGAACATGGCATATGGGCCTTGCCTCGGGATGACGAGGTTAACAAGGTGGGAGCGTGCTCAGAAACTGGGTCTGAACCCTCCACAAGAAATTGAGAGGCTCTTGAAAAGTGGTAAGGTTCAGACAGAGTCCTTGTGGAATGGTCGCATTTAGAATCAAGAAAAATAATAATAATATGAAACTGTAATGTCTTATTGTAGGTTGTAACGTGTGTCTTTAGATTTTGCTAAAAAAAAAAAAACCCAAATCAGCTTCTGGCTGTGTTCTTTTCTGTGCTTGTATGTTATATGGTTCAAATCAAAGATGACGCTTGATTAAGCAAAATGTCCTTATTTGCTTGCTTCCAGTTGTTCATTGTTGTTAACTTGTTATCAAATCATGGTTTGCTTTGTTACCTGGCTGTTCTCTGTTGTTATGTATAAGAATATGAATGTGGATATGGCTGTTCTCTGTTGTTATGTATGTGAATATAATAACGTTTTGTGAATATTTAGAGGGATGGACACAAGATTTTTAGATTATCAAATTCATGTGAAATTATCACATTGGTAATGTTTTGTGGAATTTTTATTAGAGGATCCATTTCCCTGGTGGAGGAAAAGGAAGCAGCGTTCTTATTAGCACTTGATTTACACAATAATAATGGTACATGTGCTTATAATTCACTGCCTTGATTTCTTGATAGGTTGGTTCTAATAACTTTTGATCACTCTATGTATTTTTCTTTTAAACCCATAATAAAACCTTGATGTTTTTTTAGTCCAGTTGTTCGGTCCAGGAGATGCATGTCAGGTTAGTGTTTGATTGAGAGTTTTTTTTTTAGCTTTTCTTTTTCTTATAAGTAGAAATTAGGTCAAACAAATTTTTACAAAAGCTCTTCCAATAAAAGAATTTTTTTTTCAAGAAAATGGAATTAATAAAAAATACAAAGCATTACAAAGTCTTGGGCTAGCAATGCCCATCAAGTCCCTATTTATCAGGATATTTCATTCAACAGGAACTTCTTGTAAAACATGCAGTTCCCAATCAAAAAAAGAATAGCCTATATTAGCTAATTTATCAGCTACCATATAAGGAAGCCAAAACCCAAAACTTCCTCCAGGATCTTTTTTAAATTGTATCAGTTTTTTTTTTTTTTATGAAATAAACAGTTTGCTTTTTTAAATGAACAGTTTTTAAGTAATTTTTAAGTTAAAATTTTTGTATAATCATTAAATAGCTATTAATTTTATTTTTAAAGCTTCTTTTTTTTTTTTTAGCTTTAACTTAAAAAAAAAGGATGCCAAATCGGCTCTTAAAATGATGCCTATTCATGGGTGTGCAGGGGCAACACCCCTTGGCCCGTAGAGACATGGTATTGTTGTTGGCCTCTAACTGATTATAATTTTATTTTTCATAGTAGTTTGAGCTTTGGTCCATGAATAACTATTGTTAAGATTTTTTAAATCTTATTTATATTTCCCTGTAAATCGATTGACTAATAATGAGTGGCGGTGAGGTAAATATAGTATAGATAAGGTGGACGTATCCTACATTGTGTGAACGAGGATAAATCACCATGTCAATTTTTTTCTATCCCTTTCTCTTTTCATTTTCGATTTGTGTGTTGTGCGATTGTCGATTTCCAACACTTTGATTAATAACAGATCTCTAAAATGACAACTTATAGGCATCAAAAAAAGAACATTGAGATTTAGAGTTTCTCCTCCAATTAGGGCAATTAAGGGACAGGAGTGACAGAGAGTCCTCCCTAACTTGGAAGATGTCTTATATTTGTCCTCAATTTTAATAAATTGTCCCATATGAAATGCTACCAAGTGAGCATAGCATATTAGAGATATTGCATAAGTTGTGGTTTTTATGAATGAGAACCTATATATCTATAAATAAACAAATAAATAAAATTTTGTTATAAATGCATGTGCAAGAACTAATCAATAGAAATGACAGCGGTTAAAATCATGAATCTATCAATCTAAATCATGAAATTCATCTTCCACAATCATGGCTTGTCTAGCCCCATATTACTTCCAAAAAATTGCTATTTGACACATTAAAAGAAAGTGAAAAATCTAAGATGATATTTAGAAAATTTATAATGTAATAATACCTGTTTATATGGTACTTAAGAGATATATGGAAAGCAAAATGTTGTTGGAAGAGTGTTATTATTTGCCACTTGAGAGATATATGGAAAACCAAAAGCTGCTCGAGATGTTGCAGATATGCTAAAATCTCTGGCTCTTGTACTAGTAGCTTTGCCTAAATCACTAAATAATAATAACAATAAGCATATAATTCTATAAAATTAAAGAAAAGTATGATAAGAATTATATTATTTATTTTACCTTAATCAGTATGATTACGCCTTAGAGGTTTAAATGCATTAGCACCTTGAGATATATTTCGAGCTTGTGATATATTTTTCTTACGTATTTTCTTCTTTAGTTGACTTTTTAATCTAGCATTTGTAACTCCTCTTGCTCGAACACGTTGGAGAATTAAGACCCTTTTTGAATTTAATTTAATATGATCATCTTTCTCTTCATCGTTAGTTATATCATCAACTTCAGTAGGTTTGCTAGTAAATGTAACAACCAGAATAATATTTTTTAACATCCTCTCCAACATCTTTATCCCCAGCTCTAGATGATCTTAAGCTATTTTGCTTGATTCATTTGTCAATGGCTTTCCTTATTATTTGACTCTTATGTAGATTAATTCTTTGTGTTGAAACCTCACAAGCTTGGGGTGGAATGCTATCAATTACATTAAACCCATTTTAGTGTCTTTTGTCCACCTCTTCAAGATATATTGAGAAGGTATACGAAAAATATTATGAATGTTAAGTACCTTCAATGAATGAAAACATAAGAGACCAATCGATTCAAACTTCTTACAACTACATTCAACCAAGCAATTGACATATTCAAATGTCAAAAATATTATTTTTCATCACCAATTTTAATCAACTTGTAGCCAAAGAAAGCACTATTTTTATTGGTTTTTCAATTGCCACATATAAAGATTCAAATAGTTCTTAATAGAATTCTTTAAAAATAATATGAGTATATACCTGTGCAGCTTGTTCGGCCATACCTACAAGTTTTTTTACCCTAGGAGGTGCAAATTGATTGCACTCAAAGTCTTTTTGCGACTCTGACCAACGTCTACGCTCTAAAACTTTTTCGTAACGAAGCATGAATTGAGTAAAAGACATTGTTTTACAAGTTACAGTACAAAAAATGTTATCCATATTCTCAGTTCTTTGTGTTGATAAGATGTCAACTGAAAAATAATTCTTACCAAATCCTGGGCACCAATTTTCTCGTAACTACTAAATTGTTTTCAACCATGAGCATTTTGTGTATCAACTTTTGTAAGTAAACAGGTCCACACTTCTTCAAACTCTTGCTTATATTCACAATTGTAAAGACACTTATTAAATAGAACTATAAAGTCAAGTTGTCTCAAATAATATGAAAGATGCTTAGTAGCATTTTTGCTAATATGCCACAAGGAAAGTAGATGTTAAGATTCAAAAATAGCTTTCATAATAGCATTGGTCATTGTTTGACACTGATCAATAAAAATTGTTTTAGCTTGCAGTCTATCCATTGGATAATAGCCCTAACCAGTGAAATGAATAATCAGGAATTATTCTGTGATAAAAATGGTGTAATTGGATTAAAAATATAATTTTGAGATTTTAGTCACTTTTTGGGGAATACGAGAATAGTGAAAGTTAGGGGTAAAAATGCAATTGTGTAAAATTACCTGAAAACTTCAAAATGGACTAGTGAGAGTTTATTTAAAGACATTGGTGAATATTAGAACCATGATTAGATGATCACAACATGAATTAGTGGAAGATTTAAGTGAGGGGTAAAGTGGTAATTTATCTTATGTGAACATTTGGCCAAAGACAAGTTTAAATGACTTAATCACTTATGTTTTAGCCAAAATCTGCCTTCTTCGTGGTTTTCTTTCACTCTAGGCCGATGCTCCATTGTTTGAGAGCTTGGTTATCTACCTTGAGTTCTAATCATTAAATCACTTAATGTTTATAATGCAAAATGTCAAGTGTGAGGTGGTGATCAAAGCCTACTAAAGAAACTTGATTAAAAAGCATTGAGTGAAGAGACCATTCTCATTGCAAGTGGCGAGTTTTTGGTCAAGGGCTAGGAGATGAGTTTGGCTTGTTTTGAAGCATGGAAGGTGTTCCATTGATGATTCTAGGTAAATCTATTCTCAGAAACCTAAACCTTATTGAGTTTTATGATGATTTGGATTTCTAGGTCTCATTGAATAATGTTGTGTGAGATGATGATCCTGGAGTGTGATTTGGACTTGACTTGTGTTGGAAAGATTGTTGGTGAGATGAAATAATTGGTGAAAATGTTATTAAAAAACCATTTTGAACATTTTTAAGAAATGGCCGAAAATGACATGTATAAAGTGTTGAGTTTCATGCTTTGTAAGATTTGAAATGTCAGATTGATTCTAGACTTTTGAATTTTTTATTGTGTGGCGTGAAATCAATTGATAGCTTGATATTGGATCAAGTCTTGGAGCAAACTAGTGGAAGAAGTGTTGATACTTGACTTGTTAACAATAGGGTAAGTCCTTGAAATTATATGATTCTCTAATGAAATAATCATTATGTGGATGGTTAATAATGAATTCATTTTGTTGATTGAAATTGTGACCTTTGTATAGGTAAGTTGGACTATAAAGTGTGATTCGTGGGCTTACTTGTTTGACAAGAAAGCTTGCTCATGTATTGATTGGATATGATATCTATATGTATGTTGTGCTATATATATATAATTTTCTGGCCAGTAGAAATGCATGATTGTGTGGGACTTTGTTGGACTTGGCTCCCTGATTAGAGTTCCAGTTGATATTATACATAAGAGAAATAGCTCTTTAGCGGAGGTTTTTTAGAAGTCCTAGTGGACCCGATATTGGTTACCTTGGAGCAATGATTCCTGATGGATGTTTCTTGGTAGTTCTGTTAGATTGTGTTGTGATGGATGATATATTATTTTTTTTATAACGAATGATATACTATTATGTTATAACTGTATATGCACATTGAGTGAACCTATGGGTGGAGTGATCTCCAAGGACCCGTGGTTTGCTGATATTGTTATCTCATCCCGTGTGGGGACCATATTTCAGGTACTACTAATGGTACATGAGCATCTCAAGGTAAGAAGCTTGAGTAGGCTTGTGGAGCATTGTGTATTTTAGACATGCATTTTGCGGATGTTTATGTATTTTGGTGATGCACGATGTTGAGTTTATATTTAGACTTTGGATCATTGATGTATGATTATTTATTTTGTTATAGCCTTTAAATATTGGAGAAATTGGTATAATGTAAGAAAGGGCTTGTAATAAGATATTTG